CAAGTTTCCTTACTCCACACAGAGCTTAATAATAATCCCTCCAAAACCAAAAACAATAATAAATCGGTCATTTTCAATTCACGGCTGTTTGTGTGGGACATTGCTGTGCGCAATTGGCTGCCGCGTTTCGCCCACAAATATACAGTCAATTCACTTTACAGTCTATTCTGTGAAGCGTTTTGAGACGTCGAAAAGACGTGAAAAGCGCTGTCTCAAATGCAAGGATTATTATTAACAATGATGGAGTGAGTGTGGAATTAAAGCTTAGATCAGGGGTAGACTGTGTGTGTGTGTGAGAGAGTGAGAAAAAGTGTGTGTGTGAGAGAGAGTCTGTGTGAGAGACAGACTGTTAGAGAGAGAGTCTGTGAGAGAGAGAGAGAGAGCAAGTGAGTATGTTGTGTGTTGAGGGGAGAAAATGTGAGTGAATGTGTTCGAAAGTGAGAGTGGTGAGTGTGAGAAGATGTCTCTGTGTGTGGGGGTGAAATTACTTGAGTGAATGTGTCTGGGTGTAGGAGTTGGTGAGTATGTGTGAGTGTCGGTGTAATTCTGGGTATTTGTGTGTGTGTGTGAGGGAGAGTGTTTGTGTGTGTGTAAATGAGAGAGAGAGTGTGCGAGTGAGTGTGTATGTAAGAGTCAGAGTGTGTGTGAGTGTTTAAACAGACACGAGTTGATCTGCTGCTGCGGGGAGTGTGAGAGTGACTGAGGAATGGATTAATGAACAGCTAGTGCTATAAAGATTTACTGTGAGGAACAGTTTATATATATATATATTATTATATATTAATAGTAATATTGTGAAACATTTCATGTTACTTTAACATATATCTTGTATTTGAGAGTATAATCTATACGTGTATAATAAGTAATATAGATTTCCCTTTAAAGGGGGGTATAAATGTCAGTGCGTCAGCGTGGCTCAGACGGTATCGCCCTCACCTCGGAATCAGAAGGTTGTGGGTTCGAGCCCCGTGTTGGGGTCTTAAAGCTCACAGTCCAGGCTGACGCCCAAGACATTACACTAAGGTCCTGTCTGTGCCTGTTCAGGTGGATGTTAAAGACCCCATAACACTATTCGAAAAGAGAAAGGGAGTTTCTCTCTCTCTCTCCCTCCCAGCGTCCTGGCCAACAATCACCCGGTTAAGATTGTTCACTCACTCCGTGGCTGTTTGTGTCACTTTGCTGTGTGCAACTCGGCAGCTGTGCTTCACCTACAAAATATACAGTCACTCCACTTGCCAGAAAAACTCTGTGAAGCGCTTTAAAATGATGCGATAAGAATTATTTATCCATTTAAGACTTAAGGTGTAAGGCGCTGTGTAAATACTGTATACATTATTGTACATGTACATCCACTTTGCCAGGAGGTGGCGTTATTGCAGTAGTTTTCCGCTGAACTGTCCTTTAAATCCCACTGTTACATTGCTCGCAAGCCCGGAACTATCTGGGAACGTCTTTCAGAGGCATAACCTATGTGGAATAAAAGTTAAAGCCTCCGAGAGAACCAAATGCGACCCTCACAAGTGGGAGCTTTGCTTGTTATCGGGAAGTAAATGTACTGCGCACTCTCTCTCTCTCACCCTGGAGGGAAGAATCCTGCTTACCTAATTCTGGAGAGTATTAGGCGCAGGTTGGCAAGAGCCGAGGATTGGGGGGGAGCCCAGAGTGTGCGTTGGGGTTACTGCTGGAGCCTAACCAGCTAAACGTGTGCATCTTGTCACTGATATCACTGTGTGGTAAGCTTGCCCACAGCTTGTCCAGCGAGGACCACCCCATCCATTAGGGCTTCGGTTTGCAGAGTTAACAGGAGCCGAGTTGAAGGCTTCCTTACCCCCCAGTGAATTATTTAACATTTGAAGAATTAATATGTCAAAGTGTTTCAGTAATAATAGGAGGATGTACCTTATCGTTAACTATTACTCTCTTCACCCTCCGCAGCCCCCACCCCCACCCCCATCCCAACCCCCTATGCTTCATTTCCTATTTGTTGTTTATTTGAAGTTGAGGTACAGATCAGCCATGATCTAATCTAATGTTTGTTGGTTTAATGGTAACTGAGACTTTCATGGTACACTATTGAGCTTACAAACTGAAACTTCCAGGTACCCAAGTTAATAGTAATAATAATAATAATAATCCTCGCATTATAGCGCCTTATCATGTCTCAAATCACTTCACAGGATACACTGTAAAGTGAATTCATTCTGTATTTTGTGGGTGGAACAGGGCAGCCAATTGACCACAAGCAGCGTCCCCACAAACAATCGTGCATTATTATTATTTTTGGAGGGATTATTATATCATTATTAAGGAGGGAAGGGGGAAATAAACGTACTCGGGGCTTCGAATTCTGGTTTTAAAAAAAAGGTTCTCTGTATTTCAGCATTTTATGATCAGTCTCTATTTGTTGGATTGTTTCAAGATATCTCCCCATCAGTGGCCATGGCTGTGGTCACTGCGCCCTAAGCCTCTGGAGCTCCCTGCCTCTCTCCCTCCATACCTCGTCCCCTCTTTATCTGTCTTTCAGTCTCTCCTTAAGTCTTATTTCTTCTGCATATCACTGTGCAGTGCTCTGAGCTGCTGTTCTGCCTAAAGATCGCTGTAGGAACAAAAGTTGTTGCTGCTATTGTTTTTGAGTTGGGGGTTTGGACTTGAACTTGTGGGTTTGATTGACACTCCACCTCTGTACTAGGTGTCTATGTTCAATATTAAAGAATATTTAAAAACATTCTCTTTGTAATGTCCTGTTATTGTCTGACTTATGCCTGAGATCAGTGTCCATGTGTAGGTGAAACACGGCAGCCAATTTGCACACAGCAACTTCCCACAAACAGCCGTGAAGTGAGAGACCAATTTTATCTGGGGGATTGTCGGCCAGGACACCGGGAGGGAGAGAGAGAGAGAGAGAAACTCTCTGTTTCTCTGTGAGGTGTTTGAGGCAATGCAAATCATTGCTGAATGTTTATAAACTCGTTTATTAAAAATAATCTTTTACCCACAAAATACACAGTAAATTCACTTTACAGTATATTCTGTGAAGTGCTTTGAGACGTCTCGAAGACGTGATAAGGGGTATCAAATGCCAGGATTATTATTATTATTACAGTTACTCACACAGCTGCCGATCAGACTCCGTTTTTTTAATCAGTGTTGTCATGTCGTCATAAACTTTCTTGCAGACTGTCCCTGAGTCAGATTAATTATCACCTTAAACAAGTCAGAAACATTTGAGTTGCTACTGTACTAAATAGACAAAGGTTTCCTGTTTTACAGCTTGTAATTAGTCACAGTGCAATTACATTCCAGCACTATGTCTCTCGCACTCAATGCAATCACACTGTTCACACTGAGTGTGTGTGAGAGTGTGTGTGAATGAGTGAGAGAAAGCGGGTGAGTGTGTGAGTGTGAATGAGTGTAAATGAATGTGTGTGAATGTGTGAAGGAGTGTCAACGTGTGATTGTGAGCGAGTGTGAGAGTCTGTGAGAGTGAGTGCGAGAGGAGTGAAGGTATGTACGTGAGTGAGTGAGTGAGTGAGTGAGTGTGAGAGACTGCGTGAGTGAGTGTGAATAGCAGCCAAGGTGTTGGAGGATAGCCAGATCTTTAAGATGAAACTGAAATCAGGGGGAGATGACTTTTAAGGACCTCTCTATATATTTATCAGCGCCTTGGGACATCCTCCCAACGTGAAAGGCGCTATACAAATGTGATCTTGTTGTATATATTTATTCCCCACTATATTGGGGAGCAATTGATCCAAATTCTACAGTGCAAACCAGAGCCTCTCTCCCCCCAGATCCCTCCCGGTTCACATCCGAAAAGTTTAGTCACAGTCCGAAAAGTTATTAAAAAGTTTCCAAATTTTTTAGCTCCTGTTGTGGGTTCCCACTGTCACTGACATTTGTTCCTTAAGGTAGGGTGGGGTGACGTGTGGTATTTTCGTTATTAATTGGTGCTTTTTCCTCCCCCACCCCACCCACCCATCCCTCTCCTTTTTTTTTCTTCCCGGTTTTTATTTTTTAATTAAAATAATTTTATTTTTAATTAAAATGAAGTACAATGTGTGGGTTTTTAATGCTATTTTGAGAGGATGAGATGAGATGAGATGGGATGACAAGTTGGAACAGTTTCACTGAGAGAGAGAGAGAGAGAGAGGGGGAGTAACATATCCCAAGTGAGTGGCAATTCAGAGTGATTGACAGGCGGAATGTCTCCCAAAAAAGGGCTTTGCCAAAAACATTTTTTTTAATCTATTGCCTTTATATATAAATGCAGACACTGCAGACACGCCTCACCTCTGCTCGTTCCTGGAGGGAGTTTGGGACAGACGTTGTGGTTTTGTGTGGGATCATCTCTGTGTCAGTGTGTGTGTGTCTGTGTAAGTGTGTAAGTGTGTTGAAGAGTGTGTTGGTGTTATATAGTGTGTGTGTGTTGGTGTGTGTTAGTTGGAGAGTGTGTGTTAGTGTGTGTGTTAGTGTGGTGTGTATTTGTTAGTGTTAGAGAGGGTTAGTGTCAGTGTGTGTGAGTGTTAAGAGTTTGGGTGTCTGTGTGTGTCTGTCAGTGTTAGAGAGTGTCAGTGTCTGTGTGTTGAGTGTTGGAGAGTGTGTGTGTTAGAGTGTGTGTTAGAGTGTGTTTTAGTGTGTTAGTGTGATAGAGTGTGTGTGTGTTAGAGTGTGTGTGTGAGTGTGTTAGTGTGCGAGTGTGTTAGTGTGTGAAGAGTGTGTGATAGAGTGTGTGTGAGTGTGTGATAGAGTGTGTGAGAGTGTGTGATAGAGTGTGTGATAGAGTGTGTGTGAGTGTGTGATAGAGTGTGTGTGTTAGTGTATGTGTGTTAGTGTGAGTGTGTGATAGAGTGTGTGTGAGTGTGTGATAGTGTGTGTGAGTGTGTGATAGTGTGTGTGAGTGTGTGATAGTGTGTGATAGTGTGTGATAGAGTGTGTGTGAGTGTGTGAGTGTGTGAGTGTGTGAGTGTGTGATAGTGTGTGTGAGTGTGTGATAGTGTGTGTGTGAGTGTGTGATAGAGTGTGAGTGTGAGTGTTAATGTTAGTGTGTGTCAGTTGGAGCCCCAGAGACCCGCAGAGAGCTGAGGGGTGAGGGGGAGCGGTGAGGAGCGCCCTGAGCCCCCCGGGGGGCTATGCAGGCTCAGGCCGAGCTGAGGGGCTCCTCCCCGGGGCTACAGAAGACGGGGAGTCGGCGCTACAAAACCTTTATGATCGATGAGATTTTGGCGAACAACAAGGAAAGTTGCAGCTACTTCCAGAAACTTTCCCTCCATCATTCCGTGTGCCCGACCTTCCTGGTCAGACCCCAGGCGGTGCACCTCCAGGGTAAGCCCTCCCTCACCGCAAACTAACCCCGCATTCGCATTCGCATTCGCAACTTTCTTTCTGAGCTTCTCAATGGGTCAGTTTCATCTCCTGCCTCAGCTGCCATCGGTGTCCTGTTATCCGCACTGTGCCCCCCCCCCGTCCCTCTGACCCCCTTTCCCCCCCTCCTGTTGTCCACCCCCCCAACCCCATCCCGGATGTAATAATGACAATAACAATCCTCGCATTGGACACAGCTCTTCGAGGCGTCTCAAAGCGCTTCACGGGATACACTGTAAAGTGAATTGACGGTGTGTTTTGTGGGCGAAGCGGGACAGGCAGTTGCGCGCAGCAGCGTCGCCCGCAAACAGTGACCACATTTTTTTTTGTGGGGAGTATTACCCCCGGAAAAGGGGGGGAACCAATCGACGAGCCGACGGGTTCCTACTTACTGTTAGTTGTATTAATGTTATATTTAAATAAATAAGATTAACAGTAATAATCATTGCATCCTTGGAAGGTCTCGGAGCGCTGGCCGTCTACTTAAAGATTTACGTAGTGTAGTGACTGTGTGTTTTGTAGGTGAACACAGCGGCCGGATTTATAATTTCTGCACAAACTGGGCGGGCGGGTGGGTGTGCGTGTGGGTGGGTGGGTGGGTGTGCGTGTGGGTGGGTGGGTGTGCATGTGGGTGGGTGGGTGTGCGGGTGGGTGGGTGGGTGGGTGTGCGGGTGGGTGGGTGGGTGAGGATGGTGTTGATCAGGTTATTGGAGAGGTTTGCGGGATCTTTAACATCCAGTCAGACAGGACCCCTCTCGCGACACAGCACATCCCAGGGCTGGGCAGGAGCGTCAGTCAGGCTGTGCTGTGCTGTGAGTGAGCTCTAGTGCCGTTGTGTAATGGTTAGAGCCCTCGCCTCACAAGCGAGAGGACCCGGGTTTGATTCCCGGGAAGGGCAAAGCTTTAGGCAAGTTTCCTTACTCCGCACGCTTCTGTTTAACCAGCAGTAGGTAGGAATCTGGTTGTTAGTCGATTGGCGGATCGCTTTCCGGGGGTAACAATCCCTGAAAAAATAATAATAATAATTTGTTCACTCAATCAATGACTGTGTGTGAGACATTGCTGTGAGCAATTGGCTGCCACGTTTTTGCCAACAAAATACGCAGTCACTGCGCTTTACAGTGTATCCTGTGAAGCGCTTTGAGATGTCTCGAAGACGTGATAAGGCAACGCATCAATTGCAAGGATTATTATTATTATCGTGCAGTGTATGTGTGTGTGTGTGTGTGTGCAGTGTTTGTGTGTGTATAGTGCATGTCTCATGTGTTGTGTGTGTAGTTCATGTGTCTAGTGTAGTGTGTGTGTTTGTCTAGTGTGTAATGTATAACGTGTGTGGTGGTGCGTGTGTATCCTTCAAGACCCTGCTCTTCGACTGCCCCTTCGGTCACTCTCCTACCCCCACCTTCCCCGCCCTCCACCCCTCCTGATCCCAACCTCCAGCTCGGGTCCAAATCCTTGACTGTCCAGCGCCTTGGGATGTCCTCCTGACGTGAAAGACACTACGTAAGTGTCATTTGTCGTCGTTGTTGTGTACCTTGTGTGTGTGTATGTGTGTGTGTGTCCAGCTATCTTGTTGTGGCCTTCAATCACCAGCAGAGACCAAGTAAAGAAACTGGTGACTGTGAGTAGTTTTGCTTGTGGCAGAGCCGGGTGTGATAGAGACAGTGATTTCCTTCGTTTCTGCTGGAAACCAATTAAAACAGCTCCAGATTCCCACCATTTCCAGGAACGTTTAAGTGTCAGTTTTATATAATTCAGCCCAGGTCGGGAGGGGTATCATTGGCTGTGTACTGATGACAGCACAGCAGAGCCTCATCGACAGGACCTGGAAGGGCAGAGCTGTCACTGGGGACGGGGAGTAATCTCACTCTGCTCTTGTTAACCCTGCAAGGCAAAGCCCTAATGGGCCGGGTGAGCCGAGCTGGACGAGGAGCTTGTCAGACAGTGATATCAATGGCAACGCTATGTGGTGTTAGCTGGTTAGACTCCAGCAGTTACCCCAACACACACTCTGGGCTCCCCCCAGTCTAACAATTCTATGCTCTTAGAATAATAATATTAATAATAATCCTTGCACTTGATATAGCACCTTTCACAATGTCGATGTCCAAAGCGCTTCACAGGATGTAGTGTAAAGTGCAGTGACTGTGTATTTTCTGAGCGCAAGGCAGCAGCGAATGGCACACAGCGACGTCCACAAACAGCCATGGAGTGAGTGACCAATCTTATTTGGGGGGATTGTTGGCCAGGACACCAGGAGGGAGGGAGAGAGAGGGAGAGAGGGAAACGCCCTTCTCTTTTGGAATAGGGCCCGGGATCTTTAACGTCCACCTGAACAGGGCACAGACAGGAGCTCGAGCCAAATGGAAGGCGAACCGGATGGATCTGGGTCTTCTTTTGTCCAACGATTCTCATGATCTTATCTCCCCTCGTGTCCGCAGGCCCGGCGTCTCTCAGGTCCTATCCCATGTTCTCCCTGCTCGGACGTCAGACGGCTGGAGTGACCCAGCTGTGTCCAATGGCCATCGGCCGTCTGCCTCAGCTCCTGTCGCCCTCGTCGAGCTCTGGGAGGACACAGACCCCAGGCCTGGACAGCAGTGAGTCGGAGAGCGACCAGGCCCTCCCCCGGCTAAAGAAACCCCGCCGGAGCCGCACTATTTTCACCGAGTTACAGCTCATGGGGCTGGAGAAAAAGTTCCAGAAACAGAAGTATCTCTCCACCCCAGACAGGTGAGTGAGCGGTCCGTCCTGCCAGAGGGTTGGTCAATTAGTCACTCAGTCAGGTAGCGAGCGAGCGAGTGGGTGGGTCAATGAGTGAGTAAGTGTGTGAACGAGCGAGCGAGCGAGTGAATGAATGAGTGACACATGCGCACACACACATGCTTGATACATTCAATATCATTTCTAACTGACTTTATTTTGCAAAGAGTATTGACAATAGACGGCGAGATAGGCCTAAGTGTGGGGTGGGGGTGGGAGGGGGGGGGTTCAATCCCAGTCAGTGGGTTCAATCCTAAACATGTGTCAGGATAGAGGTTTAAGCATACCTGAGATGCTATCACATCACATATCGCATTTTTCCCCGTTTCTCCCTCTTCCCTCCCCCCCTCCCCCTTTCTCTCTCTCTCTCTGTCTCTCTCACTCTTACGTATATTGGGCATTGATTCGTTGCCTGCGGGTGTGACGTGTAATAACAGGCTGTAGATGAGGAAGCTGTGAGGTGTCCATCACCGTGTGGTTGATGAGAAACGCACTGTGTTTCTGTGCTTGGCACAGTTCAGGTGGCAAGAAATCAGGCCATTTTCCTAATTACTGTATTTTTACAACATCTATGGTAAGTGGGTTTCAACAATCACAGCCCGACCCATAGTATCAGTGACTTTGCGGGTAATTGGAGTTGAGGTACAGATCAGCCATGTTCTAATAGAATGGCAGAACAGGCTCTAGGGGGCTGAATGGCCAACTCCTGTCCCTATGTTCGTATATTCATAGAAGGGATGAGAGGGGATGAGGAGGGATGGTGGTTCTTGTAGAGTATAAACACTAGCAAGGGGATTGATTGGGACAAATGGCCTGTTTCTGTGCTATAATGATTCCTGCCCAGGCCCCGGGTCTAAAGAACAATCTAGGATGGCCTGCGGTGGAGACAGATTGTGTCCACAAATCCACGAGGGAATTAATTGTAGCTAATTCAGGAAGAGATGGATTGAAGGGTATGAGAGCTGGAGACGTGTAGGGTTTCTCCTGCACTTAGACCCTGTCCACAAGGACCACAATGGTCTATTCTGGTCCTGTACATTCCTGTGCTGCTTGATGGTGTGAGTTTAATGATGCGAGAATCCTATTGTAATCTCACTCCGTGCACATCCTTAGGGAGGGAGGGAGCTGTTCCTGACAGTCAAGGTCTGTAACTGGACCAACCTCCTGGGAAAGCCCCCGGTATTCCAAGCTTGGCCTTGCCCGAGCTGCGGACAAGGTTAGAAGCGTCTCCTTATGACTTCTCTTCAACCCTGATCCCGACCCGGTCACAAGCTGGTATTTAGCTGTTTTTGTAAACCCTCCCCCACCCAAAAGAAACGTGGTCACTCAATCCACGACTGTTTGTGGGACGCTGCTGTGCGCAATTAGCTGCTGCGTTTTGCCCAGTAAATTCACTTTACAATACACTCTGTGAAGCGCTTTGAGACGTGAAGCGAAGTGATAAGGCGCTATATCAAACGCAAGAATTAATATTACGGTTATATGTTATTTTCATTGACAACTTCCTCACATATACTTTAAAACCCTTGGGTGACAGATGAGTAATTACACCCAAATCCTCTCCCGCTCCAACTCCACGGATGGATGTGTTTTTTTTTAAATACTTAGCCCCTCGAGCCCGTTCCGCCATTCTGCAAGATCATGGCTGATCTGAATTCTGTTGGCATCGGGCCTTGTGTTCAATCGATTAAATCACAGAAATCTTTTTTGTGCATCTCATTGATATTTTACCCTAACATAGGAGTTGCGGTTGATTGTGTGCTGCGTCTGAACCTGTGTGCAACTGTGTCGAGCCCTGATTGAGTGATTGGAACTCAGGAAAGTGGCATCAGCTGTGTATTTGTTGCTGTCGTTTCCTTGGTGATAATGGCTTAAGTGATACAACAGACAGGAGATGTAATTCAAATCCGTCACATAAACAGCTAAGAACATTTTTGCGGCTTTAGCTAATGGTATTGTAATACAATGGGAGCATTCAAGCCATTAGCTTTCCACAGGCAAGTGAGCGACACGTTAGATTGAATGAAGGGAATCCAGTCCGACAGCTTTGTTGGATTTTTGCGCCCAATTTCTACAGGTTCAGGGGCTGTTTGTATCGGTTCCCTTCCCACCTGCAATACAACCCTTGTCAGCCTTGCAAAGCGACACATACGACAGCCACGAGAACCCCGACCGTACCATCACGTTCCTTCACAGCTTCCTCCCCACCATCATCACCTGCCCCAGCTCTAGTCCTCTGCCTACATCCTCTCCTCAATCTAAGTAACTCACTCTCTGTCCTCTCTCTAATAACTCACTGTCTCTTCCCTCTAATAACTCACTCTCTGTTTCCTCTAAGAACTCACTCTTTCTTCTAATAACTCACTCACTCTCTCTTCTCTAATAACTCACTCTTTCTTCTCTAATACCTCATTCTCTTTTCCCTCTAATAACTCACTCACTCTTCCCTCTAATAAATTACTCTCTCTTCCTTCTAATAACTCACTCTTTCTTCTCTCTAATAACTCACCCTCTCTTCCCTCTAATAACTCACTCTCTCTTCCCTCTAATAACTCACTCTCTCTTCCCTCTAATAACTCACTCTCTTCTCTCTAACGTAAATACAATAACAATAATAATCTTTGCATTTGACACAGCGCCTTATCGCATCTTCGAGACGTTTAAAAGCACTTCACAGGATACACTGTGCAGTGAATTGACTGTGTATTTTTTTTTGCGCGTGAAATAACTCACTCTCTCTGATGCCTCACTCTCTTAATAACTCGCTCTCTAGTCTCTGTAATAACTCCCTCTCCGCTGCCTGTTAATCTGTGCCCCTCTCAGCGCCCTCTGATGACTGTGTTCTGGTTACCCTCAGGTTAGACCTGGCCCAGTCGCTGGGACTCACTCAGCTGCAGGTGAAGACGTGGTATCAGAACCGTCGGATGAAGTGGAAGAAAATGGTGAGTTGTGTTTTCTCCGTGACAGCTCCTGCCAGCCATCAGCCTGACCCTGCCCTGCACTGCAGTGAGAAAGGTCTGAAGATCTGTTCAGGTGCACGTTAAAGATCCCACAGCACGAGTTGTAAAGAGAAGGGAGTTTCTCTCTCCCTCTCTCGCTCTCTCTTTCCCGGTATCCTGGCCGAGAATCCATCCCGCGCTCCCCAAACAGAATTGGTCCCTCACTTCACGGCTTTTTGTGGGACGTCACTGTGCGGAAATTGACCTTCACGAGGAAGCTAGACAAATCTCTAATAAGGAGTAATCTACACGGATGCAGGGGGTGGGTGGGGGGTGAGGGCTGAATGGGTCTTCTCCTGTGCTGTAAATTAGGCGAGTGGTGTAACTAATATGCCAGTGGTCTCCTCCTCCTAATTGCCCAATCTCTGAATGAAATGAGAACATAAGGACATTAGAATTAGCTGGAGAAAGCAGACTAAGGTCCATCTATTTCACCTTCCACCATCCTGGCAGTCACTTGACATGTCGTGTCCCAAACTGTACACTGTAATATAACTGAATTGCTTGTAAACACAGGTGCTGAAAGGAGGACAAGAAGCGCCAACAAAGCCCAAAGGGAGGCCGAAAAAGAACTCCATCCCCTCGACGGAAGAGATCGAGGCGGAGGAAAAAGAAGCCAGACTGGCCCAGGAGCAGGAATCCTCTCCTTCCTGAGATAGAGAGAGAGAGAGAGAGAGAGAGAGTGGAGATCAGGACAAACGGAGATGGAGAGAGAGAAAGAAAGAAGAGAAAACAAAACAAACTCTTCCAGATTTCAGTCTATGCACTTGGAACCTCAGGACATAACCACAGCTTCTCTGTGGGGAACAGAACGGAACAAACGCCATAATGCAATCTACAGCTTGTCTGTCGTGTAGGGACGCAGCTGTGTGTAAATACGGACTTTAATTTAATGGGAGCTGGGGGCTGGCGCTGTGTGTGTGTATAGGTGGGGGTGGGGGGGAGGGGAGATTGATAATAAAATAACACGTTATTTCACTCATGTCTTGTTTTCTGTTCACCTGCTCAGCATTAGGCCTCCGTTCTTCTCCAGAGGTTTTAGGGCTATCCTAAAAGCTGATGGTGGGGCTCGCATTTGATATAGAGCCTTGTCATGTCATTGAGACGTCTCAAAGCGCTTCACAGAATATACTGTAAAGTGGAGTGACTGTGTATTTTATTATTATTTTGTGGGCCAAACTTGGCAGCCAATTATGTACAGCAATGTCACACAAACAGTCATGGTTTGAGTGAACAAATTTTTTTTTTGGAATGATTATTACCGCTGGAAAGCGATCTGCCAATCGACTAACAACCAAGTTCCGACTTACTGCTGGTAACCAGAGGCCTGGGGACTAAGGAAACTTGCCTAAGGTTTCGCCCGGCCCAGGAATCAAACCCAGGTTCTCTCGCTTGCGAGGCGAGTGCTCTAACCACACTACAAGCCTCCACCTAAGTAGAGTATAAAAGCAAGTGAGACTTTTCCCCCCTCCAGCCAAGTCCCGTTCGAGTTAAAACTCGCTCCCCTGGTGGGATGTGCAAATTCTGAAGAGCGACAGGATGAATTTAAATCAGAATTAGTTTGTTTTAAGTGCACTTGAATGGAGCGATGACATCACCAGAACTTGTAATCTTGTTATCTTGTAATCTCCTGATCCAATTTCCCAAATCACTTGCACCCTTCCTCCCTTCTCCCTCGTGAAACAGGACTTACTATGTCATGTCAGACTGTTAATAAGAATCATCCAATCATAGAAATATGCCTACAAAACACACAGTCGCTACTCTTCACAGTATTTCCCGTGAAGCACTTTGGCACGTGCTCCCGTTGTGAAAGGCACGACACGCAGGCAAGGATTTTATTATTATTAGTGATAAAATTTACAGCACAGAACAAGGCAATTTGGTCCATCGTGCCTGTGCTGGTGCTTTTAAGAGCAATCCTTTCAGTCTTGTTTACCTGCTCTGAAATGGTAAACTCTGGTTTAAGTGAGGTTCGCAAATGCAGGGAAGAGTTTTTGGCATATTTCCTCCCAGGTAATGTAAAAATAAATGATCTCTCTCACCTTAGCATCGAGCCCACCAAGAGAGAAGATATAGTTACCTAGTTTGTTTGTCATTTGCCTGAAAGGCAGCTTATTAGCACTTTAATTATTCAATGATGTATTGGTTATTACCTGGAATTCAAAATTGGCATTGAAAATACACCTCCAGCGATGTAACAAAAATGGGAGGCTTTGTTTCATATCACACACCTATCTCAGCCCTTCTGAATAAATACCTGCTTGTGCATCTTCTTAGAATATTTATTTAAAAAAACACTGAGTAAGTACTATATAATAATAATAATGATAATAATAATCCTTGCATTTGGTATAGTGCCTTATCATGTCAGTGAGACGTCCCAAAGCGCTTCACGGAATATACTGTAAAGTGAATTGACTGTATATTTGTGGGCGAACGCGGCAGCCAATTGCGCACAGCAATGTCCCACAAACAGTCGTAGATTGAAAATGACCAATTTATTATTGTTTTGGGGTTTTGGAGGGATTATTATTAGGCTCTGTGTGGAGTAAGGAAACTTGCCCAAGGTTTCGCCCTGACCTGCCGGGAATTGAACTCAGGTCTCTCACTTGCAAAGCGAGTGCTCTAATCAATGAGCTACATGACTCCACAGGATATGCTGTGAAGTGTAGTGGCTGTGTATTTTATAGACGAAACACGACAGCCAGTTGTGCAAAGCAGAGTCCCACAAACAGTGGTGGATTGAGTGACCAAATTCTTCTTATTTTTTGTTGGAGGGATTATTACCCCTAGAAAGTGATCCGCCAATCAACTAACAAGCGGGTTCCTACTGACTGCTCGGTAAACCAAGACGTGTGAAGTGAGGAAACTTGCGTAAGTTTGTCCTTTACCGGGAGTTGAACGGTCCTCTACTTGCGAAACGAGTGCTGTAACCACTGAGCTACAGGACCCCACATTTCAAGTCAGAAGATTTATGTTTACCAAAACGAGCATCAAGTTGCAACAACAGAAGTGCTGTGAGAACGAAACTGGTGCATTTGTGTTCGCTGCTAATTGCACAACACTCTTTAAAAGGTCAAGTTTCATCAAGTTTAGCTGCAGGGAAAATCTCATGTAAAAATATCTTGAGCATCATGGGGAACAGGCTTGCTCTCGGAGAATAGGTGAAGTTCTGCTTATCAGAGGCTGAATTTTTTTTGTTTAGAGTTGGAATTAGAGGAAACAATAAGAACACAAGAATTTGCTGGACGAAAAAAGACCAACGTCCACCCAGTTTGCCTTCCACCATCCTGGCAGTCGCTTGACATGTCTTGTCCCAAAGTATATCCTGTATCCCAAGATATTATTTCCTAAAAGAAAGATTCACTACATTGTGATATGCTCTGCCATTTCTCAATGCCATTAGATATTTTCTTTCTTGCTTGCTTTCTTGCTTTCTTTGTGTTTGTGGAACACTTTTGCCCACAAAACACAGTCACTACACATTACAATGAATCCTGTGAAGCGCGTTAAGATGTCCTCCTGAAATGAAAGGCGCTACATTCAGATGCAAGTCTTATTATTCCCTAATTAGCTGTCTAATTCCCTCTTGAATTTGCTGATATAATCTGCCATGTTTAGTTGTCCCTGCTTTTTGCACAAAGTAATTTAATCTGAATCTAGACTAGCATTGATTGATCAATCGCTGTCTATTTAATGCTCATCAAAAGGACCAACGCACCAATTAACAGGAGGACAATAGCATGAGACTTGGGCAAAGTGTGTCTAATGTCAGGAAAATGAAAGGATTCACACACAGTACACAACACACACCGACACAACAATACAGCGAACAGAAGGGACTGCTTCCTGCTCCATCAATCAGAGAGCAGGGAGAGCGTGTCAGCTTGGCTCATTTGTTAGCCCTCTCACTTCTGAGTCAAAAAGGTTGTGCACTGAAGCCCCACGTTGGGGCATTGACTTCACATATTCCAGACTGACATTCCAATGCAATGCTGTTCACAGCAGTCCAGGCGTGGGCTGACTAGAGCACTGTACAGCGAGTTATTGTTGGATGAGACGTTAAACTGAGGTCCCTTCAATGCTCTGTTCAGGTGGACATTAAAGATTCCACGGTTTCTATTCGAAAAGAGAAGGGAGTTTCTTTCCCCCGGTGTCCTGGCCAAAAATCCTCCAACTAAATTAGTCATTGAGCCCATGGCTGTTTGTGGGACTTTGCTGTGTGCGAATTGGCTGCCACGTTCACCTACAAATACACTGTCACTACAACTTCACCCCAAAAAATGTTATGACTCTTTGAGAGAATCTCAACATTATGGTCTATGGACAGAGCGTTAAACTTAGAATCAAGACAGGACTGAGGCCGGGAAGCATTTCCTCACATAACAACAACTACAACAACAGATTCCACTTGTACAGATTCCACTTTCACATCAGGAGGACGTCCCAAGGTGCTGGGGTTGTAAAGATTTGGAATCCTCTACCCCAGAAAGCTTTAGAGGTGAAATCAATAGAGATCTTTAAGAGAGAGAGAGAGAAAATAAGTGGTTTTAGGGGCATGGTGGAAGGGTGGCACACTGAGACTAAAAGATCCACTAAACTGGTGGAACAGGCTCGATGGGCTGAATGGCCTCCTCTAGTATCAAATGTTTTAGAGGATTCATTTTAAACGGTTGCAGTTCTTCCTCGGGGCTTCTCCATTCCAATCTTATTGAACCCCTGGAGGGCTTGACAGACATCTTGAGAGATACGAGGGATGATTTCAAAAGCTGTTTGATGCAATGATGGGGGGATGGCAGGGGTGAGTGTCCTGGAGGGTGAGATTAGATGGACCTCAGGTCTGCCTATTCAGGTGGTCATTAAAGATCCCGTGGAAGCTATTCAAAAAGAGAGGGAAGTTTTTCTCTCCCTGTGTCCTGGCCAACAATCCCTCAAAGAATAAAATTGGTCACTCACTGCATTGGCTGTTTGTGGAACATTGCTGTGCACAATTGTGCAGCTGTGTTTGCCTCAAATACACAGTCACTCCCACTCATTTCACAGTTTAATGTGAAGCGCTTTGAGATGTCCTTCTGACATGATAAGGCGCCATATTAAATGCAAGGATTATTAATATTATTATTATTATTATAATACTGAGATTGTTCTCAAAGAGTTCAATCATCCGCACCAATCTTGGGATCCCCTAGCAGTAAAAGATTCATCCCCCCCCTCCCCCACCACCACCCCACCGTGCAAGCTTCAGACATTAAACAAGAAGTAAAACTCAGGAACCCTGTTGTTAGTAGATTGGCGGATTGCTTTTCCGGGGGTAATAATCCCTTAAAAAAAAATTTGGTCACTTAATCCATGACTGAGCGCTCTGAGATGCTTCCCTGTGTGGAGAGCGCTATATAAGTGCAAGTTGTTGTTGTTGACTGTTTGTGGGATGCTGCTGTGTGCAATTGGCTGCTGCATTTCGCCTACAAAATATACAGTCACTACACTTTACAGTATACTCTGTGAAGCGCTTTGAGACGTTTCAAAGCCATGATTAGGCACTGTTTCAAATGCAAGGATTATTATAAGCTTTCCCTTTCCAGAGTGCCGGATATGTCAACAGAGGATGGATGTTCTGAGTGAATGGAAACAATTAACGTTAATTGCACATTTTAAAAAAGAAGAGGAGGAGGAGGACGGCCTGAGGGATGATCAGGCGG